TTTCACATATTTTTCTCGGTATACAAGTAATATTTTATATGTAAATCTATATTCGCAAAGCGAAAAAGAGAGAAATTTCTCGTTTTGTTCATTTTTTCAAAATATATAATTCTCGTAGCGCTTGCTTTCTCTCTCTCTCTCTCTCTCTCTCTCTCTCTCTCTCTCTCTCATTGTTCTCGTGTACATAAGTCTATGATTTCTTTCTGCAAAAATTTACACAATGGTACGTTCGTGCGTTCGAATGCAACGAATAATAGTAATAATAATGAATTTGATGATCGACAAAGATAAACTCTTGAGAAATAATGGATATCATTGAAATGAGAAATTAGCCGTTCGTTCTCACGGCCTTTCGATGATTACTCTCACAACCTTGATCTGCACACATTCACTAGAATCTTTTTTTAATAATAAATTTTTCAATATCACAATAGTTTAATATATTGACTATTTCATAGATAATTTTTTTTAATTTCTAGAAGCGTGTTGTAAATGTGACTTTTTCTTTTTGTTATTTCGCGATGCTCATGGTTGAATATGCATGTATATTCCATGATCACTTTTCTAACTTCAATCTTGCAACATTTTTAATCATGTCTAAATCCATGGAGACTTTTTGTTCACTTAACATGTTACGTATATATACTCAAATACATACATTTCTAATCGCGTTTCTATTGTTACAAATATGTATCGTGCTTTCAAATTTCCATTTTTAGTCTCGCTCACGCGTAAGTGAGCCTCATCCGCCCACGCCTGAACATAACTCTGTATCTTATTGCCTTTATCTATTTCTCCATGGACAATGATAAAAACGATGTAGTTTTATTATAGATCATATGACACGTGAGTATACAAGGAACACTAATAAATCCTGAGTACCTAAAATTTCAAACGAGACACGCATGAGTACGGCGCTATCTCTCGCTTTTATACTTGACAATCGTTTCCATTGCAAGAATAACGACCGAAATATTCTCACAATTATATGAAAATGAGTTTTTTGTGCACGGTCCAGACATTATAAAATGTTTCGCACGAGAGAGCTATAAAAGTTTGAAGGTTACAAGTTTTTCTTTTTTACTTTATGTTTAAAATAATATTACTAGGAGATGCATATATTCACGATAACATGCCCTGCTTTTAATCTCATGTTTAAATTATTGCCGGCTCGCATAAAGTAGCCAGTGTCACTGCGCGTAGCTTAGCGCCGAGACACTACCAGGGTCTCCAGGTAATACATACTTAATATATACTTAATATAAATAAATATAAATTTATAAAAATCAATTGTAAGACGGTTTGATTTTTAAATAACGCATTGTTATATTTTCATCGATATTATGAATTTAACAAAAAAATATTTTTAAAAATTTAAAAGCCTTTGAAGAAAAGGCTTATTAAACTGCTGTCACATTATAAAATTTGTGTACATTTTTTCTAGGATAAAAATTTCGGTGAAATTAAAATACATTATTTAAAATTGGGCCATTCTATACATATTCTTTCATATTTTTACGTTTAGATTCAAACAGTTTTAGAACGTTTATCAGTAGATAAAAAGCGATATATCGTATTTATAATTAAATGTAAAATATTGCAGTGTTCTAAGTAATTAAAGGATCATTTTTTCGTATAGTCTTTCATACATTAAAAAAAAACTACATTAAAAAAAAAAGAAGTATGTATTTAGGTACGATCTAAATCTAAAAATACATTGTCACATACTTGTCAGAGATAACAGTCGAAATAATTCTCTAATCGAACAGTTTGAAACAGTTTTTTATATGCTTTCTGAATAAAATGATTTGATAATGGAAAACCGTATTACACGTAAAATCAATTATATATACGTATATACAATGTCAATTATATATACGTAATATTATTTTTATGGCACTTTCGCAGATTGCGACACTTAATAGCAACGATAAAAATTTACAAAAAATACGTAATACTAAAAAAACTATGTAACATATCAATCAAGTTATATATGTTCGAATAATAATCAAGATTTTGACATACTAGCAGAATATTTACGTACCAATCAATTAGTCTTGCGCATATGTAATCACAATAATACTAATACTGCGAATATTGCATTCATAAGGAGAGAAGCCTATAGTATTATAGATAGATAAAATAAAATAGAAAATTTATAATTTTACATCGGAATTATAGCATATATGAAAGTTTGATTATATCACAACACAAGAGAAAATAGTTTATGTGCAAGGATATGTAAGCATGTGTAAAAATATGTATGAACGCGAAGTCTCTTAGTCTCTTCGCAGTTAGAAATTAAATTAGATTATATACGCACGATAAAACGCGATATAAATGTGAAAGATCATAACATCGATGTTTTTTACAAGCATGAGAAATAATCTATATTAAGAATCATTTTAACATGTAACATCAATCTTTAGTTTATAAACGCGCACACATATGTATATAGAGGTGCTTTCTTAAATATATAAACTAATATAGATTTTTCTTTACATTTAAACATTAATATAGGCCATGATATTATTCTTTTAGTAAAAAGATCTGATATACGCATATTTGGTAATTTAAAGCGTCAAATGAATTATTTATTTAAAATAAATAAAATAAATAATAAATTATTCAAATGATCATAAATAGACAATTATAAATACAATTCAAATGCATCTAATTCATACATATTACGTCATGAGCAATATGAAAATGAGGTAATTAAAAATAATATTTAAACATTCTTGATACAACAAGAATGATGTTTTAATTCATAAATGATACCATAATTTATTATTTGGTATCCAAAGTATTCTATCAATAATAACAATTAATAATAACAAACGATTACAAGATATATATTTCTTCTAGTAATACATAACGTAACAAAAAAAATAATTAATATAATGCTATCTTTC